GAGAGCTCAGATGGAGCTTTTCCAATGGCATTTATGGGATCTTGTTGCTGGGCAGAATCTGTGGTTTCTAATACAGAGCCACTGCTTCAGCCTTTTGCTTGGCGAGGAGGCAGGAACAGAATCTTTGTCTTCTCCTGAGTTGCCTGTTTTCACAGAGCTGGTAGGAACCTGGTTATCTTAAAAAAACCTTCCCTCTCTGGTTTGGCTGAGTTTGACAACAGGTTCAAAGCATGTTGGAGGAAAGACACGCATGTGAACAGGCATGCACACGCGTGTCCTGGGTGCTTTGCTTCTGCAGGAACCCACAGAGCAAAGTCCCACAGGAGTTAGGTGCTAGATGTGAAAACTTGATGAAAAAAAGAACTGATAATAGAAATCATACTGGTTAGAGACAGCCTAAGAAGGCTACTTTGTGAATAGCTTGCTTTGGTAGCTGTGACACTGTTTGGAAGAAAAAGAAAATGAAATAACACCTTCTGGCCTTCCCAAAGAGGGGTTGACAGTTGGTGTTGTATTAGCTATTTGTCAAGTAAGATGGATATTAATTGATTTGTTTTCCACTTTTAAAATACTATTTTGAGCACATTTGATAGTGAAAATTTTTGAATGAAGAGCTGTGCAAAAAATAAGTGTGTGTTAATGTTTTGCCTCTAGCCAACAAGAAGAAAGAGAAGGAACGTCCTGAGATCTCTCTTCCTTCAGACTTTGAACATACCATTCATGTGGGATTTGATGCCGTCACTGGAGAATTCACAGTAAGTAACCGCTGTATTGCGTGCTTACCAGAGCTTCTAGTTTCTTGATGGTAAAATAGCCTCCTGTTGCCAGAAATGTCAGATGACAGCAGCCAGGCTGAAGATTTTTATTTGTTGGGTTAGGATTTTGGAGTCTTTTACTTCTGATTCAGGCTGCTTTTTTTTTTTTCTCCAAGGATTGTCAGCAGAGTGTCTGTGGAAAATGAAAACTAGGAAGAATGTAGGAGTATGCTTTTATCAGTCCCACAAGCTGCTACAGGGCTTGGTTGTTCAGTGTCTTTGGAAAAGCATAAAAAACCCACATAAAAACCCCCACACGTGTGCATAGTGTATGTCTTGCTATAGACAATCAGCCCCACAGTGCAAAGTTCAGCTGCTCTGCAGACAGCCCTTGGAGACGCCCAGAAAACGGCAGCATTGTGGAAATCCATTCATTTTAATTTAATGTCCTTCAAAATATGTCCATAGACTAGGTGATCAGACAAGTTTCTAGCCTTTATGTATTAATAGAATAGCAGTCAGCTTTTTCTACTTATGCCACAACAAAGTGTATGAAGTGTTGGGAAAAATTAGTCTGATAGAAGCTCCTTGAAGTCTGCAGGGGGCTTCAAAGTATTTTCTTTCAGACTACTAGTTAGGTGCTGAAACCATTAGACCTTAAACCTAGGACGGCAGTAAGCTTACGTCTGGTTGAACCGTGGAGGTGAGGGGAAGCATTAGCAACTCTCCGTACCATCAGTAGCACCCTGTGAGCTGAGTGGTCAGACTGTGTTATCACTGTGCGTCAAATTGTAAATTTGTGATAGTGCTGACTGGCTGCATACACCAAACAGGATGGGACAAATCATTTGCCTGGACAAAGGATGGTTAGTTTTCAGAGTCTGAGCCCTAAGTGTGATTCCCTCATCATTTTTTACTTTGATTGCTACTTTTGTTTCTCAAAAACATTTCGGAAAGCTGGAAACTTTCTGTATGCTACAGTAGCAATAGTAATAATAAAATAACAACAGAAGGAAAAAAACCACATTAATGACAGCATGTCTTTAAAGGAATAATGAAATCTTTAGTAATTAGGAAATACAGCTACATTTAGAATATGTGGACTGGTTAATCGGCCTTTTTAAAATAGATGCCTCTTACAGAATCTTACTTCAAAATTTATTCTGTGCCAAACCGTAGGACTTGATTAAATACTCATTTAAAAAGCCCAGATGTGGCCATTTTTGATCAGAAACCTAGCATAAAGCTCTTAAGAGTGTGTTTTGCCTGCTATCTATCCTGGCTTTCCTCTTCCCCCTCCCCCCCCGTCTCTCCCTGTAGCCACTTCATCGTTCAGGTTAATCTTCAGTGCCATTCTCTTTATCTTAGTATCATATTATTTATTATCTACTTTCTGCTTTTGTTTTTTCTCTTTTGTGTTTGCATCCCTTCTTCCCGTCTATCTTTTCTTTCCTTCCTTCATTGTTCCACTGATCTTCCCGCTGAATGTTCAGCTGTTTTTATTCTATATTTGTTCTTCCTTTCAGCCCTTCTGCCTTTATTTCTACCCTGTGCTTCAGAATTTTTCCTTCTGGCTCTATGCAAACGCGATGGGTCATAATCGTGTTCTCCCGTAGACTGGTGGTGAGGATCCCAGTTAGTTTCACGTCCCTGCCAGCTGGAACAAAAAGGAGGGACGTCAAGGTTAACACACTTCAGTTCTAAGCACAAGCACTCTCTATAAGTACTTCAGAGATCACGGTTTGGATCAGTTTGAATGTTACTATGATCATGCAGTGTGTCAAAACAGTCTCTAGCATCAGAGGGGTTTTTTTGTTGTTGTTGTTTTGGGGCGTCAGATGCCACCTGCACAGGTCCTGGCCTTTTATAGAACAAAGCGATTGTGCATGGCTGAATACGTCCAGCTTTATTGCTGTAGCACAATTTCGTTTTAATATCTTTTTCCTTTTCAAAACAGTGGACAGTAGGTGGCTGCTGTTTTACAATCCCACAGTATTTCTACAATAATACTTATTCCTAAAGTGTGGAAGTGCAGCGCTGCTGTTTGAGAAGGCTCAAACCAACTCAGAACAAACTGAAGGGAGAGGTGACTTCCTCCATGCACCTTGCCAGCACAAGACTTAACCCTGCAGTCCTTAGTGGAGTAAAATGGCAGTCAAAGCAAGGGGATTTTTGCACCATTAAGAGCTAGCTATCAGCTTCCAACTAATCCCAGAGGCCAGTACTACGTTACACATTGCATCAGGCATGTTTGATTTGTCCCAACCTGGGTACAACCCGTGTATCAGCTGGGTAGTCCTGTGGTAAGTATGTCCTGCCGAAGGGACCTCCACTAGCCATATCATGTCAAAATATTCCCACTGTCTAGTGATCACACTGTCTGTCTCTTTCAAAAGTTTGGAAGTGCCATGGGAATGTCCAATAAACGTGCAGATATATGGGGTTTTTGTTTCAAATTATTAGAGTTGTCATGCCAATAGCGTCTGCTCTACTGGTTATGTGCAATGCATTGGGCCATTTTCTGACACCAAACAGTCACCCCCCCAGCTGCATTACCTGATTGCTGTTAGTTGCATCTCAAATCGAAGTTGCATGGGCTCCTGAGTTTCGGCTTTCAGGCTTGAGCACCAAGTTGTGTTGTTGCTCATGAACGTATGTTGTATCTCCATTTCACTGTGCTTGGAGCAACCACATTTGCTAAGAAGTAGGGCTTTTAAAGCTCAAAATAAAATTGGTTGGAAACTGTTGGGCGGGAGCATGCTGCTAGAGCTTTTATGTTGATTTATTTTGAAAAAACAGTTGCATTTTCTGAATGGAGGAGGAAGTGTGGTTTGCAGGGCTTTGGGGAGTGCGTTTTGTATGGCATGCATTTTTTTGAAACAGTTTCCTGATCCCCAATCTAGAACAAAATGTGGTCACCCGCCAAACTTTTAAAGTTTCATGATTATGACATTAGCAAGTGGGAGAAAGTTGTGGCTATAGATCCAAAGAAGTTGCACATTATTAATCCTGTCAAGCATTTCTTTAGAATTGTCCTGATTTTCAGTCTGACGCGCACAGATTGTTTGTGTTACGACAATGCACAACCTCCCAGTGTAAAATCCAAGTTTGACCAGCTGCTTTCTCCACTGCATTTGTTGACTCGTGCACTGGCCAATTGTGATCTTGGGGCTGGAGAATCATTGGAAAAAAACTTGTGTAGAGCCATTCAAAAATGTGAACCTGGCTTTCAAAACTGGACCAACAGCAAAAGCCCAGATCTTTCTCTATTATGTTTCTTTTTTAACTAAAAAATGAAATCGCAGGTAATTTTTCCAGTCACTTGCTGTTAATCCTCAGTAATGTACTTTTATGAGGGAGAGAAAAACTGGTTTAAAAAAGAGAGGAGGGGGAAATGATGCTTCCAAACTTTGGAACAGTTGTGATTTTTCGGTTTCCCTAAGCCTGCCTTCCTGTAGCCTGTCCACCACCTAATCTATTTGATATCTGCCTCGTAATTCCCATTTTAGATGGGACTTCCCCATTTTGGCCCATTGGTTTCCTCCTACCACCTTCTAAGTTGTCCCACATTCTGTTTTAACTTTCTTTTCTTTCTTTATTTACGTCCATTACAGCCAGATCTCTATGGCTCACAGATGTGCACAGGGAAGCTCCCAGAGGTGCGTCACAGGCCCAAAAGAATCTTGCATCAAAATGCTTCTTTGAGATGTCATAGCACTGCAGCAGCAGGTTGATGTGTGTGCAGTAGATTTGTTGCTTGGCTTATCCCACTTTTTTTTTCATTAATCCTAAACTTTGGAGGCCCATGTCACACATTGTTTTGTGGAGAACTTCTTAGGAAGAAGCAATATTAAAGTGTTTACCTAGATTGGGGTGGCACCAAGGCTAAGTTTAAATGTACTTCAGGTGTAGCTTTTCATTCAGTAAGCCGTACAATTCGCTGGTAGATGTTGGCTGTGCGGTAAATGGGGAAAATTACAGGCTTTCAAATTTAGGAAATTATACTGGATATTTAAAGCAATTTTTCATCAATATAATTTCAATGCAGAACTGCGGCTTTCAGCCACTGGATCAATTTTCAAATGCCACCCTCACTCATCAGAAGTCTGAGAATTCATGCAAGGCTTTGGCACCCTCAGCCTGTTCTCTGAGTCCCTGGTTTCTGTATATTTACAGTGGAGAACCTACAGAGCTACAGGAGGTTGAAAAAGCGACAGCCTTCGCAGAAGTGGTACAACTCAGTGTTACGATTTGGAGAATTTAAATACAGATTCTTAACCCTGCAGTGGTCCCTGGTATACTGAAAATTCATTTTATCAGGGTGGGGTTTACCTTTTAATCAGACAGCCGTGATCATTTCAGCAAAATGTGTTTGCATTATTATGCATTAAAAATCCAGTGTAAAGCTCCTAAAATACACTGTGTTGTCCACAAATATAGAATAGTCTTGTTATGTCTGCACTGAATCACCAGGAAAACAAGCTAAGTCTTAAATCATTATTCCATGGAAGAGCAGAGTTGATTTAAAGATGAGTTTCATGCACTTTTTTTCCTATCACAGTCATAACTTTCTTTTCTTTTTAAAGTTGGATCCTGGTTTTAGCTCTCTCTTTTGATAGAGAAGAGAATGATTTCATCTAATCTAATGTATAAGCTACTGATTTTAATTATAAGGTCAATCAAAATTTCTGAAAGTAATCTTACAGGTAGCATGGGATCTTGGTAAAGATCTGTGAGACTGCGGCTGTTAAATGTTCTAAATCCGCATTCTTTCCACTTGACATCTATAGGGCATTCCAGAGCAGTGGGCCAGGCTACTACAGACCTCCAACATAACAAAACTGGAGCAGAAGAAGAACCCACAAGCTGTTCTAGATGTTCTCAAATTTTATGATTCCAAAGAAACAGTTAACAACCAGAAATATATGAGCTTTACGTCAGGAGGTAAGCCAACATCTCGCTGATGGAAATTCAATATTCAAGTGGTCAAGGAGCAACCTTAAAAAACTCTGCTTTGTGGAATACTCCTGAAATGGATTGTATTTCTTTTTGTCACCTAAATGTCATTGATACTGTGACTTTTCTTTGTTGCTTGTTTTTATAACTAAGTAAGATACTAGATGGAACAATCATCACCAGTTTTAGTCAGAAGCATTAGTGGCCAAAGGTCATGTTTACTTCTGTTTCTTTGCATCCCTGTTCCTTCACAGTGTTCAGATTGGAGTAGGGGGATGTGCTTGTTTTGTGCATTTTGTGAGTTACTCTTGGATCCTTTGAAGAATAGCTTACGGACTATGAGGGGGTTTTGTGATAGAGGAGAATTTTCCAGGATTTTTTTGCATTGGCTGTGAGAAGGTTAGGTAGCTATGCATAAGTTCAGGAACAAACGTGGAACGGCTGCTATTGTGATGTAAAAGGGATGTTGCCACAGAGGATGAGAAGGAAGGCGTCAGTGTTCAGAGCAATCTCCGCAGAATGCTCATTCCAGGAACATCCTCGTGGTTTAGGCATTACCATCCAAAAGCCTGCAAATATGATGGGGGTGTCATTTTTTCCCTTGGTTGTGTACAGTCTGCAAAATTGTAGCGTAGCACTGCAAAAATGAGAGAGCAAGCCTGCGCTGCAGTTTGCTTTTTTTTGGTTTTGGCCTATTACTTCTTTTTTTTGCTAGACAAACTCCGACTGGTGACACATCTAGCAAGTAAGCGGAGGTTTTTGCTGGGTGCAGCATATCTGGCTGTTGTATCGATGTGTTCTTTTGCTATTCCTTAATAACTGAGTTGATTTTTAAACAAAAATACCATTAAGATACCATTACTTTGGTAAAGCTCATGTCAACAGCTTCAGCTAATAGGGGGGTATCTCTATCCAACAGGGTGTGGACAGCATATGTAATTTAAAAAAAAAAGGCAGTGCAGTCTGTAATTTCCTCAATTTGCTGGTTCAACCAATACAACTTCCAAAATGCAGACTGGGAGAGCTTCTCAGAAGTCCTTCTAAAAACTATGCCATTATCTCCAGGATTTACTAACATTTCTCTTCTCTTGAGGGAAAGCATTTTTTTCTTCTAAATTCCAAATTCCATAATTAAAAGATTTGACTGTCTAACTTGACACTTAATGCTTGCTAAAATCAAGTTACTTTTGTGATGAGATGCAAAATTCAAACCAGTTAGTGTATGCTCCTGAACTCAGGAGCTGTTACTGTGCTATATCAGAATAGAACTGCCGTGGCTATGGGGGATTTTGGGGAAGCTTTTACAGGGAAACATTTCTGGCAAGCTAAAGAGAATCAATGCCTGCAATTTATTTAAAAAAAAAAAAAAAGAAGAAAAAAACTGCTTTAGCTCTTGGGCAGAAACAGAAGCATTGACTGTTAAAGAACAATTTGCATTTTCTTGACCAAGTTTCTATTTGTTTTATTTACTGGCAAAACAGGGCAAAAAACCAGACAAAGAAACTGTCAAAAAAGAATTACCTAGTATATTGTCCTGTTATCTTGCTTGTTACGTAAAATAACTGTTGCTACTGGAGGTATATTGTGAAAGAAAAACGCTATTTATTTGGATTGACTTGTTCTGTGGGATTCCCCACAACAGGCAGTTTTATAATAGCAACTGCTTAATTTTCCCTTGCACATTGCAGATAAAAGCGCCCATGGATACATAGAAGCCCATCCTTCGGTGAGTGTGAAAGTAACCTACTTTCGTAGCATTTAAGAATTGTGGAGCAAGCTGTGAGCTTTGCCTTTTGTGATAGAGCGCCAGCCTTGTAGGCTGAAAGAAGGTACATTTTAGTGTCTTTGCAGCAGCAGAAAAGGGACCACTGGCTCTTTTCTAATTTTCTGTCTAAGAACTTTTAAACAGATGAAAGTCTGGTTTTGCAAACAGAAGATTGCTTGCTGTTCTTAACCATGGTGGAATATATAATTCGCAACAACATGCAGTACTGTCTAATTAGCCCATTTTAATTTAGGTTTAACAACTCAGAATCCATTTCTATTAAATTTTATGATTTATCCTTAGTACAGCTGGATATGTAGCTGAATATAAATAAGGTTATAATTGATATGTAACTCACTGGAACCATTGAAAGAAAGTTTTAAATAATCATCTACTCTAATTAATCCTGGATTGCCATAGCAATCCCAGAGATATAGTCATGACATCCACATTAATATTGACCAGATTTATTAGTGTTAATATTAGTGCATTAAATAGCAAATGACTGAATGGAGATTTGGCCTTTATTTTCAAGTGTTAAGCAACTTAATTTTAAGTTTGTGATTATACAGCAGAGGGTGTATAATGAAATGAAAATCATCTTTGAAAATCTGAAGTGTGGATATTCAACTGGTGCCACTTTCATTATCTTTAACAAAACACACTTTTAGAGGGAAGTTTGGGGTTCACCAGAGCACAGTAAGCTTCCCAATAGCTTTTCCAGTGGTGTGGACGCGTGGGCAGATGCTGTGGTATTTTGTTCTGGCAGACATAGACAGCGGTGAGACAGTCAAGATGTCAGCTTTCAAAAGTGACCAACTCAGAGGATGCTGGTTGAATGTTACAGAACAGTGAAAACAACACTTTGACAGGATCGAGCAGTCACTGGAATGATTTTAATTTCATTTAATGTTTTAATGGGAGTCTGGCATTAAATAATATGGCATTGTATGTGTTCTAGCTGCGCAACTGAGTACTGTCAGGCCAAGTGTGGAGCTCAGTGGAAAAAACAGTTGTAAGAATTTGACATAACAGAAATGTGATTATTCCCTTCTTTATTTTTCCCTTAATCATCATCTATCCCCATGTAAGCAGAGTGCTGATGATGCATGGAAAGCTAGACACTGATCTAATGTATGACAGAGTAACATTCACCTTCCCATTAGGGCACCTCTTGCTTGACAGAGCTGGCCCTTAAACTGGTGTTTAGAAGGTCTGACCTATCATTCCCTGCTTTGGCCAGATTAGTAGCCTGTTTCACCCATTTACCTTTAGAAGTTGGGTGATGGAGTTGAGTCTCTCAGTAAATACAGCACTCTGTGTGTGTATTGGTATGACAGGCTGACTTAAGGCAGCGACACGGTCATCTATTCAGTAAAACACAGGCGTGAAGATTAGGTCTTCCTGATTCCTGTGGGCCGTCCCTTACTGGTATTTGTACTGGACCAAATTGATGCCATTTTAAAGATCGCGCAAACGAGATGTGAATATAATGGTGCCTTTGATTAGCTTCAATTCTCTAAGTGGCCTGCTGTAGCCAGCTTTTAGAGCAGTTGGTAAACACTTAACAAGGCACCTTTTTCAGGTTTTGTTGTTTCACCAGCAAATTTATGACAAGGTGATACAACCCCCCTGCCTCTGAGTAGCAGCTGGGACTGTTGGGGGAGCGTCAGCTCACCTAACGTTAAATACCTGTGCTGTAGGCTTCCGTTTGCATGTAGACAACTGATCAGCCAGACTTCCCTTACCTGCCCCGTATTTGGAGTCTGCCTGAAGGTCGACTGCACCCTGGCAGCAGCTTTTACTCTCTGCTGCCGGTAATGGGAGCCTGGGTGAGCGGTCGGGATGCCTGCCTGGCAGCCCCGGGCAGGTCGGCAGGGTGCACCTTGCTGCTGAGAGGGCTCCGTTTGCTCTGGGTTACTATTGCTGTAAGAAATAGGCAAACAGTGGAAAGATCAACGTGTGTTAACTTATGATTCGGTAAAGAGGAGGATGGTGCTGAAAAAGGAGCTACTAAACAGGGAAATTCAGCGCTGTGGAAACAGGCAATATGGTTACCCCACAGGTAAAATAGTAAAGAAACAAATAGCCTTTCTCTCCACAACCAAATTCCCAGCAAGATGATGAAAGAGGCTTTGCATTTTGAAGTGTGTTAATTAACCTAGCTGGTTGGACACCTGTTAGCTTAATTAACTGTTACCATTTCTGCAGACACAATGCCAAAGCAATTAACCAGCAACTAGATGTGATTTCTAGTGATACTCGAGCATTACATTTTGTGAAATTAGACTTTGACTAAACATGGGAATGATCTAGTTGTTTTTAGCAAAAATGAACAACATCAAGACGGACTAACAAAACAGCATGGTAATTTGTAACCTTTAAATTGTAGCGTACTGTGTGTAACTTAGAACTGAGGCCTGTAGGACTGTAGGCGTGTCTAGATTGGCTTCTGATGTTTAAGCAGACTAAAGTTGTGTGTAATTATGAAACCTCCCAGGTGTCAAAATGGTGACTGTCACTCATGGTACTGTCTGTTCACAGAGCACAAAAACAGCATCAGAACCCCCGCTAGCTCCCTCTGTTTCCGAAGAAGAGGATGAAGATGATGAAGAAGAGGAAGATGACAATGAACCTCCACCTGTTATTGCACCACGGCCTGAACATACAAAATCAGTAAGCCCCAGCTTTGGTTAGCACTGTATTTGGTGTGATTCAGAGCTGCATGCTTCTCATCAGACAGCACTGGAGTCCTACCATGACATAGTGCTTTGCCCAAGCCACTGACACCAGGAAAATTTGTTTTGAACTTTGTCATTTAGTCATGAGTTTCCGGTGATTCTGACAGGGTCTCTGGATTTAACTTATAAGATAAAGAGTGTCTTTTAATGCTACCAATGCAAAAGTGAAAAAAGTGAAAAGTGTAAAACTTTGTCCAAAATATCTGTGTAGGCTCTCTGTCATCAGAGGAGAGAGCGGTCATCAGATGCAGTTCGCACCCTTGCAGGATCCATAGGAGGAACTGTCCCCTGGAGGTACCTGTTCCTCTCCACAGAGTAGCTAAATGAAAGCTTACACTACATGCGTAACTTTTACATGACCAAAGTTTGGTGAGAAGAATGCTATGCAGCTATGCATTGTAAAGAGAAGGTAAGTCTCGAAGGACTGGAACGCAGTTCCTAGTGGCCACTCCCTAAAGCTTGAAGTACTGATGAGAAGTCAGTTCAACAGTTATGATCAGAAAAGGGAAATGCTCCCTGCTTCTATTCAGACGCTTACGTACCAACTGAAGAGTCATTTTGTTACCCACGAAAACACACGAGCATCAAGGAACAAGGCTCTAGGGCCCTGGACAGATCTATTTCTGTATCCTTGCAACACAATAAATTCATTGTTTCAGTCATCTTTCAGAAAATCAGTGAAAATTGAAAATGAAATTGGCCATGAACTTGTATAAAACTAGCTTTTCATTCTGCCTGTTCAGTTTGAGGAGTGGCCAGCAAAACCAAACATTTTAAGAGCCCTGGATGTGGCAGGCAGCATCTCCCTAAGGGTTTGCATTTGAAATGTGAACTCAGGGGTATCTCTGCAAGCCACCTTTCTGACACAAAATAATTTCTTGTCACAGATCTACACACGCTCTGTAATTGAACCTGCCGCTGCACCAGCACCAGCTAAAGAAGCCACCACTCCCCAGCCTGAAAACTCAAACACAAACACTTTGTACAGAAACACAGACAGGCAGCGAAAAAAATCCAAGATGACAGATGAGGAGATCCTAGAGAAACTGAGTACGTATTCTGTATTTCTTGTCTGATAAAGCAGTGTACTGTATGCATGTTTCAGGACTATACGTACCAAATGTTCACCCTCAGTGTCACAGAGTCACTTAGAACTCCCTACACAAAGTGTTACTGTGCTTAGAGGAGGCGAGAGAGCGCTCTGGGTATTCCATCTGCCTCTGAGGGCAGCTATGGCTGGGTTGGATTTGCCTGAGCTTCCTTCTACGCTAAAGGCAAAAGCAGAGATTGTTTCTGCTTGAGCAGAAGGCTGTGACCTAGTGAATGACCTAGTGAACTCCTGCGTGCTGGTGGCCAAATTGAACAGAATATTTGGGTTCCTAAATTCTCTTTAGAGTCCTGACTTCTTACTGGTCATCAGGGCCAAAGTACTCTGCAGAAATCTGTTGGGGTTTTGCTGTTTGGGTTGGCTTGGGGTTTTTTTTTTTTTCAGTTTTTTATTTTTTTTAGCCAGTAGACAACTACAGCACTAAGCTGATTCCTTCAGCCTCAAGGAGCTCTCCTGCCCTAGATATTCTACTGGTGGTGTTTTTATGATTGTTGTTACTACTGCTGCTTCTACTAATATAGCAGAGTTTGTTTTTATAAGAATTCTATGTTTTTGTCAGAACTCCTTTGAAAGAACATCAGTTGACACCACAGATAGAGAAGAAGAGGTGTTTTCAGTGCGCCCAAAAAGAAAAAAAAATACAACAATCCTTATTTCTTAGCTTTATGCTTATAAAGATGTATCAGACACACATCTATGTGGTGTGATCAAGTAAAACTGCACTGCAAGCATTTCTCATGAGCCAGCCTCCAGCACATCCACTGTATATTCCTCAGATACATGGCACTTTGTCATAGCTAATTCCCAGCCAGTTAATACTATTAGAATCCTAACCATTGGCCCCAAACCCTGCGCAGATCATACTCTAGGAAAGCACATCAAGCCCTTTGTGATTCTGCAGTACAACCAATTTAATCTGCTTCTTGCATGTAATAGCTGCCAGTGCTATGTTCTCAGATAGTAAATTGTTGGGTTCATAACATAGCGCGGTTTACTCCATGTCTACCAGTAACTGTTAGGACAAAAAGTGGATTGATCTACACCTCCTAGTGTTTGATCCTAGAGCCAATAATGTTCTGTCTTTAATGGGGGCAACTGCTTGTAAAGGGGTGCAGTCTGGCTGTGGCTTCTTCACAGTGGTCATCAATGCTGGTTCAGACTTGCCCTGTCACTGGTGGTTGGTGTGACTGCAGAGGCTGAAGCCTTCCTTAGCTGCTTGCGTAGAGTTTTCTGCACCCTTAGCAGGTTGACGGGACTATAAAGAACTGAATCTCAGGGCCATTAGGGAGTCTCCAAGGGTTAAGTTCAGTAACTTTAGCTGAGGGCACAATGAAATACATTTCAGAGCAGATAGTTCCCTGCAGGTATGTCAGCTTATAAAGGGAGGAATTAGAGCTTCTTCAACAGAGGCTAAATGTTTGAGTCAGGCTTCCACCATGAGATCTGCAGGTGCCCTGCATACCTGAACATAAGCATGCGTTTTGCTTATTCAAGCTTCTGTGTATGCCAGATTAGGACTGAGCCCTTGAGTTATTGTGGGTTATATCTTTGAAATGTTACATGCTTTCTTGCTTTTTCTTTCTTATGAATTTGATACCAAGCGAGCAAGGTCTGCCTTGGGCAAACTGTGATGTGGACAATGAAGACCTTTTTGTGCTTTCATGAAGCTGTCTGAGAACGGGGGTGATGCTTTTTTGTTGTAGTCCTGGGCGAATTATGTTTAAGCATGTGTGGTGGTTGTTTTTTTCTGTTTTGTTTTGTTTTAACTCGTATGACTTCTCCACCTTGCCTACTTCCCCCACAGTTAATTTTATGCTACTTTTGGGAAGATGTCCCTTGCCCTCTTTTATCTTAAATTGCTTTCATAATTCTTTTCTGCTTGAAATAACTTGGGTTTTTTTAGAGTCACTTTCATGACAAGTTTTACTAGGGAGTAAAGCCTGTAATATTGAGATAAGATCAAACAAAATTCTGTCTATAATGAAATCATGAATATGTTCCACTGTAACTATAAAACAGAAGTGGCCCAATTCTGCTTTCTTATCCGCTTAATTTAGGACTTGATAACGGAAGGTGCTTAAAAACATCAGTGTAGCTGATATGTTTATCTTTTGTCCATGGTAGGAGCCATGTACCAGTCAATTTGTGGATTTTAGTGCTGTCATATTTGATGTGCATTGGCTTAGGCACATGAAACCAGCCACAAAGAACTAACTAGTGAAAGCAGCTACTCAAGTTTTGAGGAAAACCACCAGAAATCTGAACTGCAAAATCGGTGGCAAACTTGGAAAATTCTTTTTCAAAATATTTGTTCTGCAGTCTTTTTCTTCATTCTTTTCTAACGTGAACTTCCATGAACTTCTGATATCTGTTCTGATAGCTACGCTGTTCCATGAACTTGCTGGAAACAGCACCTTGCCAGACACGGACAACAGGGTGTTTTTTGGGTTGTCCAGCCCAGCACAGGATTACAGCAGTGTTTGGTTTAGTGCTGCGGAGTCTCGTGGGGATCCCTGCCTGGGGCATGGTTAAGCTCAGCAGTGTGAGCAGAAGGGGATGGTTTCTCATCTCACATCCCTTCTTCCAGTCAGTTACAGGGAGTCCCAGAGTCCTCTGGTCATAGTCTTCTTGACTGAAGAGTTATTTTACAGGGGAGACCCCCTATAGAGAAGCAGCAGGCACTGGCTGGCGTTCCTGGAGGGCCGGGCGAGGGGAGCGAGTACTGCAGGGCAAAGGAAACCTCTTCTCCTGCAGCTCCCATTAGCGATCTTGCCAAGGTCAGCAAAATTGTTTTAGCAGGGAGCGTACCAGATGGTGTTGATGCCCCATCTTCTTGCCTTGCTGGCGGGCAGGATTCCTGGCTAGGCATCCAGTCAGATGCCCATTTGGATGCTAAAGCCCTCTGCTCCAGAGAAATGGCCTGGCCAGGGGGGAGAGGTGTTTGTCACTACTTATAGTGAGTGGTGCGTCACCTAGTTTTGTTCTGGACACACAGGTGAACAAATAAGTATGTGTGTATATTTGTGATACAGGAACGGTGCCAGATCAGTCGAACAAAATACGCTGCAAAACAGTGGAAGTCTTTCCTCCTGAACTAACCTTCTTGAATTATTTCAGTGATGTACATTCCAAGTTAAATCTTTAGAAGTCATTTGCATTGAGCCATTACTTTAGGCTGCATTATTTGTATTTTATCTAAGAAACCAACGGACCAGAAAAAACAGTATTTTTTTTTTAATTATTCCTTCAGATTTATTGGAGTTTATCAGATTTTTGGCTCTTTCATTCGACACGAACACAGTATGCTAATCACTGCTTTCTTTCCTTCCTGTTCAGACTGTCTACACCCCTGAGTGGGCAAGAAGCCATCAAGCAGTGCTTTAATTTTAATTTTCAGTGGCCCATGAGCTCCACAATGGCTGATGGACCAGCAGTGTCCCACGCTCGGTGCCGGACAGGCTGGCCTTGCCTTCCCGCTGCTGCAGCGCCGGGCTGCCGGGAGGCGGCAGCACCCCGTCTGGCCTGGCTTCTGTACTGCATCGCCTCTGCTCATCAGAGTCCCAGCATCTCATTTGTGCAGCTGTCTGTGTAACACTAGCGCCCGAGGAACATTGCTGTTCTTGTTAGCCATCACGGCTGGGCTTATTTGTGAAGATCAGCATGTGTGCAGTGTTGAGAGCGCGAGTCAAATGCTAGTTACTGATCTGAGTCAGGTTGAAGACAAGCAGTGTGGTTCCTAAAATGGCACAAGCAAGGTCTTCTTCAAGAACTTAGCCTGGTAATAAATTACGACGGTCATAGTTCTTAAAGCCCCATAAATATTGATTATAACGTGAGATGCTGTTCTTCAAAAACTTAAAGGCATTCTTTTGGCAAACTGCTGAAAGGTTGAGAAGATCCCCTCCTGGAAACACTTTGCAATATTCTTCCTGTTCTGAAAATGGCACCTGCTCATAAAAGTTGCTTCCAGAACCCAACATGCATTTAATCTTCGGAAGTATTAAGCCTTCTGTTGAATAACACAGAGTATTTATTCCTAAGAAACTGAAGGCTCTGTTGTCTAGCTCTCATTAATGTTTACAGACAACAAACACTTGCACTGGTACGTGTTATTTTCTGGTATCTGTCTCCTGTGAATGTTTCTTCATGTTCTTAGTTTCCTGTCAAGGTGACTCTCCAAAGGCCTGTAGAAGATCAGTCTTCATGGAGGGAGGCCATCTGTGCTGCGGAGCTGCCTGCGTTGTTGTTGTTCTTACCCAGCTGACTACAAGTGGCTCACAACCCCAGACAGTGGGGCTGCGTTTCTGATCTGCTGAAAGGTGGTATCTCCATTTTTAAGTGAGCACCTTTAATTTTGTTTCTTTCAGGGAGCATTGTGAGTGTGGGAGATCCTAAGAAGAAATACACTCGATTTGAAAAAATTGGCCAAGGGTAAGTCCAATTACAGTTTCTTATGCAAAAACATGGCCCAGGTATTTTGCTAGTGCAATATCAAGTGTGAAATTCAGGCAAGCTCCAAACATGTTCGGACACTGGATTAGATTATCCTGTCTCTCCTTACTGATCAGAATTTGTAACTGTGGTCAGAAGGCGTCATCAAAGATAACTTGATGCTGGCAATGTCTTGTCCTCAGCAGGGAGCAGGACCTGGAAGATCTACTGTCCCTCAAGTGTGTGGCACCTGTTTGCTCATTTTCTTAGGAGAAATCATTTTTCTATGTTTCAAAATAACATGGCCATGCTAAAGAAAGGAGAAGAAACTTCATTGCCTAAAAGGGCAACTTACCACCTGATAGTTGGCAGATAAATAACAGTTCTCAGTAACATTTCTTTGAAATATTTTGCTTAAAAAAAATATTCAGTGGTCAGGATTATAACCACATAGTTTAGAAACTGAAACCAGAGATTAAATAATAAGCTCTCTTTTCTTGCAGTGGTAGTGAAAATTCAGTAAGAAGCAGTGTCGATGCACAAAGTATGTGATGAGAAAATGCATCACCTGCCTGATGGCAGAGCACTCGTGGATCCTGCAGGTTTTAGGAGTTTACTGAAAATAATCAGCCAAGCTATTCCCTTTTGAAACCCAACTTTGCTTACTGTAAATAGGATTGATTTGAAATATTTCCTATGTGAGGAGGCAAGAACAAAAGAAATAACTTAAAAATTAGGTATCTGACTTGCATTTTAAATACGGACAGGCTCCCTGCTTGGTCAGAGTTTCCTTGGCTGTGTTGTAATCCCAGGAGGGCTAGTGCCATTTGTGTAACACCAGGATCACACTGCTGTTAGTGTATGGCAGGAGCTGCTCACAGACATCAGGAGATATTTTTCTGCCTTAACTGTTTATGAGGTTTGAACTCAGGGTAGCACGTTGCTGACCTAGAACTGATGTATACTGCAGAAAGCCAGACACACTCATGCTCTTTCTCTGGTTTATCATATCTTGTTTGGTAGGGCACTTGTGGGAAGGTGTTTCTGCTCCATTCATTGTATAAAAGCCCTTTCTCAGATTCCAGCTTGCTTTCTACCCGAAGCTTCGGTTCTTAGTGTCATTTGTAAAATGTCAGTGGATGCTTAGAGCTGTGCCAGCCTCTCAAAAGATAAGTGTCAGCTGAAGAAGTGAGAGAATAAACATGCGTGTGAAGCAGATTACTGCTGTCACCGTGAGAATATGACCATCACCCTCACAATCTTTTTATTTTGACAGTCCTAGGAGTGAGCTTGTACAAAGGTGCCTCAACAACTGGTGGAAAGACAAGTGGCTAATATCTGGCCTAAAAGGGTACCTAAATTGATTTCCTCCAGCTTTTAGTACAACCTGAAGATTGCATGCCCTTCTTACAGAGGAGTGAGTGTGCTGCCGTAACCAACTCATGACTGTAATGCCACAGGTCAATTACAGTGATGGGGAAAGATCCTAAAGAAAAAAAAATCATCACAAAGGTAATCAAACAGGATGATCAGGAGGAGCTGGACTGCTGCATGGCTGGAGTTAGCGTGTCTGTCTGCAGCAGGGCTGGGCTGAGATGCACAGCCTCGGATGGTGCTGGTGTGCGTAGTTGATGCAGGTGCCAGTTCCTGAGCCGCCTGCCTTTGCAATGAGTTGGGTACAGTTATGCCAAAGGCAATAGCAGTGTTGGAAGCAAGTGGGTTTTTAGTAGCCGCTAATGAGAGCGCTGCAAGGCAGCAAGAGACGTGGCTGCTCAGAGAACTGCAGGTAGAGGGAAACTTCTTACATAAGGAAAAGCAACTTGACCGGCACGTAGCACTTCATGGCTTCATACAACTGGTAAGTTAATAAAGAGTGTGATGGTTTTAAAGCCACTTTGCGGTGAACAGTAGTCAGCAGGCCTGTGCTGAAGAGCAGATCGCCTTCAGCTCCCAGTCTCTGGTTTGTCATCAGTCTCCAGCTGAGGACTGAAAATGCTGCTGACACCAGAGGAAACTTAGTTAACCAGCGCTTGATAAAGAGGCTGTGTTTGCTCAAGCAGTGTTAGCTCTTTCTAAAAAGACGAATTACTATGGAGCCATGAGCAGCCTGGGTTCAGGTTGGTTTTTTTAACTTGTACTGCACTGCATCACAGTGACACGGATCTAATTGTGGTGCTTGCCTAACTGCATTAAAACCAAGATATTACAGAAGCGTTTAAAAGTTAGATACAGATCAGAAATTATGGCTGCTTAGAAGTAAAAGTTCGTAATGCAGAATCGCAGAGCCCTTGCAATTAATTCACAGCTTTACTTAAATTACTCACCTTTATCTAAACTCCTCACAGATGGCCTGGAGCATAGCGAAAGCATCCTAATTTAAATAGCTGTTTTTAAATAAATCCTGACAGGACTTTGCTCAGGAGGTACAGCACAGTGTTAGCAAGTCTGAATAAATGGTGTTGGCTTTTTATGAAAACAAATTGGATTAATCTCGACAATTAGTCATAGGAAAATGCATTTGCATTTATATTAAAAGAATACATAGCGTGCCCAATGAGAACATTGTTCTCAACACAGACCTGGTGCCTGTTGAATTAAAATGCTTCAGAAATATTTCAGCCTGCAGGTAAACAAAGAAGCCGGGGGGATCATGTAAAAACGAGCAACCTGATTGTGGCATTTTTCAATCATTGGGACACTTGCAGGTTGCGTGTTCCTGCTTCTCAGAATTGCCACCCTGGCTCTCCCTTGCCCCACTGCCCCACATGGGCTTCTTAAATGATGGCAGTGTAAACCTGTGGCTTAGCTCAGAAGGAAGCCCCGTTACGGTTTACAAGCCTACGGTTGCTTTTAAACCCAAAGGGATTTCCTTTGATCGTGGCCTTTCTGGCCCTTCACATCATTACAAGGGAAGAACCTCTTCTGAGGAGAGGCAGATGGCCAACAAACCCCCACGCTGTCTGGTCTGCAGGTGAGCATGCCATTTATTTGTGGTGGCTCTACAACACAACCTATGTCTGCCGCAGAAGCAAAATAGAGACACCATGAAGAGCCCTTCATGTGCCTGGTGCACCTAATGGAAGCAGCTGCTGATGGCTCTTGACACACAAAGCAGCTGTTTAAGGATCCTCTGTTTTGAGTAGTTCTCCATTTGCGTGTGAAACAATATATATGCCTTAACCTGCTCTAGCTGTGACCTCGCAGGATAGCTGGAGAATCGTTTCCGTGCGTGCTGGAGAAAGCTGTATCTAGATCCTTTCCTCAAATGGCTGTCACACGTATTCAGGGTTCTCAGAATGACTGCATGGTGTTGCCTGAATTTTGCAGATAGATTCAAATAAGAGGTCTGAGAAGGCACAACTAGATTGTGTGTTACATTCCCTGGGAAAAAGAAAGAAAGAAAAAAAAAACAAACCAAAACCAAAAACCCCTACAAAAAACCAACCAAGCAAAACTACAGAAAATGGGGAAAAAAAAAAAAAAAAAAAAATTTTCCCGGTTTTGTAGACACCCCTCCCCCCTTAAGTTTGAACTAAAATAATATAGCATGTACATTTGAGATTTGCACCAGCCCTTTTTCTTCATGTTGGACCTAAGTTTTATCTTGGATACCCTGCATGGCAGAGGGCTGGTGGGCTGCTGCGCTGTGCGTTGCTGGCTGAAGGAGTGAATGAACAAAGGCGTTTTATAAACACTCCAGGCAGAAGAGATCTATCTGGGCTTGCTTTCGCTCATAGCTACTAAACTGCTTCTCATTTCTTCTCTGCTGTTTTGTTTCTAGGGCATCAGGAACTGTTTATACAGCAATCGACATCGCCACAGGACAAGAGGTAAGCGTTGACAACCCCAGCAGATTTTGCAGGTATTCAGTGCTTTCCCCTCTCGTGTGAACTGTGGATGAGGCTTTTGGGTTGCCAGTAGATCTTTACTGCAAAGGCTGTTCCTCTGAAGGGCACACTAGTGTCAGCCTGCAAAATACATCTTCTGCTAAGGCAGTTCCTCCTAAGCACGGACTAGTGTCTGCTGGCAAAATGGTTCATCTGCCATCTTCAGCTTTTCAATGAGAGCTCTTTAAGGGCGATGCGGTTCTGTGCCTCAGTAACTGAACGCTTACTGTGGCCATCCACTTCCCAGCAACCATTACACTGAGGTGTTGATTAATGCCTGAAAAGGTGCCTTTGAATTCCTGGGGGGAGGTCCTGGTCCCCCTGGAATCAGTGAGAGCCTTGGTGCTCTCTGTGCTGGGGCTGATGCTTCACCCATAGCTTCTAAGGCCAATTGTAAGAGAATTATATTTTCACTTACTCTGTCTTCAGAACAAGTCAATGCTCTCCACAGTATTGTTGGTCCCAGCCTGGTACCTTGTTACATCATTCTTGAATGGGTATTTTAATGGAGAGAAATCTGTAAAGAAATCCCATCAAGCTTTTGGGCCTGATAAAAGCTACATAATTTTTATTGCCAGAGTGATTGTATTGCTTTCGAAATTGTTGCACCTCTGTTCCCCAGTGTGCATGAAGTTGTGCTATTACAGAGAATGTTGGTCTATATATACAATTTAACTCTGTACATTTACAGCATAAAACCTGCCTGTGGACCTGGCCATAGATTGGTTAGCAAGACAAATCATAAAATCTAAAGATCTGACACACTGAGAGGCTCCAGGAGAACCCTAGGGGTGGTCACAGGTTCCCCTATTGCTGTGAGGAGCAAATAGCTTCATTACACCGTGTAATTTTGGACATACTTTGTCCTTACTAACTAGCAGAAAGAATGCAAGGAGGGAAGCAGTATCTTTTGGAGAAGGACACACTAGCTCTGTCTTAATTACTAGATGTATTAATTAATGCATCGACTAACTGATGGAGGCTGCCGTCATTCAGTCCCAATTTATCTTAATCACAGGTTCAGACAGTAATACTACTTAGCATTTTTTCCATCATGTGTTTCATCTTCAATGTATAATGCAAGACCTAATTAAGGAGAGATCCTGTTTAGGACACAATTTTATGTTTTAGTCATACTGAAGCTGGTTGACACGCACACACTGACGAATGAGAAGGCAATTATCAAGAGCAAAGATCTCTCCTAAACAGTACAGTCGTGTTGGGGTCCGGTGTCGGTGACAGCCCATTACAGCCCATGAACTGGTCGCAGGGAGGTGAGGGCCAGGGGGGTGAGAAACACATCTTGGAGGAAAGCAGTGCTAACTCTGACAGTGTCCCTGTAGTGGCTGATTTAAAGTGGCATCTTAACATTCATTTCCTTTTCCAACCCTGAGTTTTTGAATGTATACAAACCCGGCCTAAAAATCTGTCTAGAAAACCAGGAATGAGAGCAGTGGGGTGGTCTCTTTTGTGCCATGTCAAGAGCAGGACTAGATGGGGAGGCTGGCCAAACTGTGTACGGAGGGTTAACCAGAGGCAGACTTTAAATAGCCACAGGGTCGCATCTCCCCACAAGGTGTGTGCCGGGCAGGAGGGCTCTTCTGGGACTGCTGCGAAAGACGCATTTGTAGGAGTCCTTGGCTGGAGCTGAGCCAGAGGGACGGGGCTGGCAGGAGCAGGCTCAGCACGGAGGCCAGGACAAAAAGCTCAAGGCTGCCAGGGGGAAGATGGGGCTGGGCAGAGGAGCCAGGATGAGGCAGAGCCAGGATGGCTGCAATGGTTCAGAGCAAAAGTGATCATATTAGTAATAAACAGGCAAGGCGGTGTCTTAGAGAATCCCGTTGCTCTTTGGGGCTACAGCTTAAGATTCTGATTTGCCATTTCTGGCTGTCAGCAAATACTTCTGAATCTTAATGGTAGCTTCTCGTCCACCTGCAGTGCTGCACTTTATAACTGCTCTTAGATAGAGATCTACAAGGGATCTAAAAACCCTAAGCCCTGCTTATAACCCTGAGTGTATCCATAAAATACCATAGAATGGATTTATTTTTTTTAAACCCAGAAAATAATTGCAAATCTAAACTGTTAAAGAATATTATTTAGAGTTGCAAAACCAAAATTCAAGAAGTTAGGAAGTGCTAGGATTGAAATTTTTTTTGTGTAACCTTAATGATCTTTTTAGTATGGCATTTTATACATGATGTACGTATGTGTTTTCTTTCAGTTATGCAATCAAGTCAAGAATAACAGCAGTTGCTGAAATAATGATCAAAAATCATTTAATTGCTAAAGTATTACCAGCTGTTTTTATATATTTTCACAGTAACAAAATCACTTCCTGCTTGCAAAGCATGCATGAGTAATAACAGTGGTGATAAACCAAGGCCATTCGAGAAGAATGTAGGTCCTGAGAGCGTTGTTAGAGATTTATGGTTGATAGTTTAAAGACCATTTTTACAGATTTTACAGGGCAAAATGTATGTGGCCGTGTGTCCTGTAGCTAGCACCCAAGCTAGCAGGGAAATAGGATGTTGTAATGTAAGTTACTGAGCTCTTATGTCTAATAACAAGACAGTTTGGCAGAGCTCTGCTGCGTCATTCCAAAACCACTCCGTGTTCATTCTGATCTCCTGCAACAGACTGCTCAAGTTCATGTATTCCAATGTCATTTTAGGTGGCCATAAAGCAAATGAATCTCCAACAACAGCCCAAAAAGGAACTAATTATTAATGAAATCCTGGTCATGAGGGAAAATAAGAACCCCAATATTGTTAATTATTTAGACAGGTAAGTAGTTCTGCTATTATCACATGAATGTTCATTTACATGCTGCAAGCCAAAGATTAAAAAAAGCCTTTGGTTACTGGCAGAAAATTGACCTCTCTTATTTATCTACTCATATGGAATGTATGGGAGGAGATGGTATTTTGTCTGCATTAATCTTTTCTGGCATATATAGTTTGAAGACTGTTTTCAAAAACCTGGATCAGCCATATCTTACTAAAACAACAGCCTCTAAGTTCACTACCTCTATGCTGTTCTGTTGTTGTGCTTTTTTTTTTTTAAAAAAGTTGATCACATTTTCTGTGTCTTACGATAAGTGCTGATAAATCATCATAGAAATTATTTCCCTTGGGCTGTTCCCACTATTTTCCATTGCTGTGGATGCCAGGAAGACTAGGTGTTTGTTTCCAGAAACACATAAGTGGCCAGTTTTTAAATTGTTTTTCCTGTTTCTGAATGTATTTTATGTAAGGTTTTCCAAGCTGTTGACCAGTCCTCAGTGGTACGCACCTCCCACCCTGGACAACTGTGAAAGTTGCATAGCCTTGTTCCTGGAGTTAATCATGGAATTTATGTGTTAAGATGATGAACCAGATGATGTCATATGTCCTGGTTGAAGATTTATCTTTGCCGTTACTAAACTGCATTTTTCATTTGCTTGCCATCCGAGATGTCTAATTTTTCAGTTATGTGCCCTTCTCATTTAGACTGCACAGACTCCAAGTACTGTATAGCCTAGAAGGAATGTCTATTCATTTTATTCTGTCTTCATTTAAAAGCGACCCGGAAACAAAACCCAACTGTAGTCTTTTTCATAAGGTAGTTTAGCTATGAACATTCAGCTCAGTGCCATCGTTTTCTTCTTTCAGCTACCTAGTTGGTGATGAACTCTGGGTGGTTATGGAATACTTGGCTGGAGGCTCTTTAACAGACGTTGTTACAGAGACGTGTATGGATGAAGGACAGATAGCAGCTGTCTGTAGGGAGGTAAGGGATCCCACGCGTGATTCCGATTACTTGGAGAGGATGGTACGTCTAAACATGAGTGATGTCGTGTTTGGAGCTCTGTTTCTGTGTTGCTTTTATAATGTGGAGAAGAAAGAGCATCTTAAGTGAACTGCCTGCCAGTATCACTGCACTTACACTCTTATATACTGTTACTGTGCTCTCTCCCTCTTATTTATTTTTTTTTAAAGTTCTCAGCTTTGCCTCTTTAAACATTTGCCTGGAGCATGTCTCTACTGCGTTCCTTGCCTGTAAAAGCAAACGTGCTGGTGGCAGAATTTTAAAATAACAGCAAAGAAAAATAGAGGCTCATTTATCACAGTCCTCAGCTTAAAAGGATACCATTCCACCCAAAATGGTGTTTGCTTCTGAAAAATGACTAACATGCTATTTCCAAGTCTGCTGTAGAGCCTAACAATAAAATCTTTGTCATGCAACCTCCCACCCGAAAGTGATCCACTTCATACCGAAGGAAGGGACCGCTTCTTTTCTGGCAAACAATAGTTTGTCATATGGATGGAGATAGCACGTTCATTGCAGCAGCAGTCATTCTGTCTGTGCTTTCCGGGCATAGTCTGTAACAATAATTGACATTTCTCTTTCAAAAGCTAATATGCCTTCATTTAGAAAGTTATTACTCTAATAGTGTTGAAGCAGCAAGCTATTCCTCTTGACAGCACAATATTCTGCCATTACTCACAATTCATCTAGAAATTAAATCTTTTAGAGCCATTTCCTTTCTTGTGTGATGAAATCAGGTCATTAATTTTTACCCTCGTGTTTCTTTTTTATCTATCAGTGCCTGCAAGCACTGGATTTCCTTCATTCAAACCAAGTGATTCACAGAGACATCAAAAGTGACAACATTCTTCTCGGAATGGATGGATCTGTCAAATTGAGTAGGTATTCTTGGTCAGGCGCAGCGTTCCCAGGATGTGGTGTGGGGCTGCTTTTGACTGACTGCCAGTTACCCAAAAGCAATGCCTGTGGTTGTGTACTCACCACTGCTGCAAACTAAGAGCGCAATTCCAACGTGCAGAGAGGTATAGAAAGGAAAAAGGTGCAAAGAGTGGCTTTGGTTTGTGATGTCCCTTCCAGAGGGAGGGAGTTACAATCTAAAGCTTCGAGTGAATAAAAACCACTGCATGAAACTTGAGAGGGTTTTTTTAAGTGGCCAATTCAATATTTCCTTGGCTACAGCACTGAGTAAACAGAGCATGGCCGCTTTTCCAGATAGATTCAACAACACATTCTCAGGCCTATAGTGGGGATTTCTTTTGATTTCATAATTCAAGCTGGCTTTAACAACACTTGCTTTTCTCCTCAGCTGATTTTGGCTTCTGTGCTCAGATCACTCCTGAGCAGAGTAAACGGAGCACAATGGTCGGGACTCCTTACTGGATGGCACCAGAAGTGGTGACAAGAAAAGCATACGGCCCCAAAGTGGACATCTGGTCGCTTGGGATCATGGCAATAGAAATGGTGGAAGGAGAACCTCCTTATCTTAATGAAAATCCTCTCAGGGTAAGGTGCAAATAAAATCAGATACCACTGTCTTTGTAGTCTGCCCCGTGTTTTGTCTCACATGAGACAAAATCCCAGTCACATCAGCTTGAACTAGTTCCACCGAGGCCAGCTTCTAAAAATGTCCCTGGAGCATATCAGCATATACTGTAGCTTTGGTTACATCAGCGGGAGGATCTCAAAAGAGAAGTGACATGTAGCCAGTTCAGAAATGTGCCGTTTTTGCCTTCAATGATGCCTGGAAGTTCAAAAACCACAAGAACTCTCTTGGAGCTGTATCTCTGAATTACAAGAATTTTTCAGCGGCAAGTTTCTCCAGTTGGGGAATTTTCATAACAAGCATTTCAACTGTATCTGGAGGCAGAGAAGTCTCTTCAAACCCAGATCAGTGCCAGTTGCTTACCTGAGCCTTTCAGGAATGTCACTGGTTATAGTAATGCCATAATTATTTATTACCAAATACCTTTGTAAAAGTGTATTTTAGCACAGATACTTGTAGTAAACAAATGTATTTTAATGGTTTGAAGTTTTGGGTTTTATCCTAATATCTTAAAAAGAAATGACCAGTTCTTATACCAAATAGGCATGTAATAGTGGAGGAATATATACCAAGATAAAACCTCATGGCTGATAGCTGAAACAAAGTTAAATGCTGCACAGTTAATTCCTGATAGGATGCAGGAATTTATGAGGAAACTAAATTTGGCCTATGTGTATACATACATCATTTTTGTTAAGACTAGAATTAAAATAGAGCATGACCTTTAGCTTTTCTCATAGCAGTAAGGCTGCGATCTCCCTCTGGTCTATGGCACCTAGACTGTATACTGTGGACTGGAAATCATTCCTGCCACGCTACTTAAGGAAGGGGTACAACATTTATACAAAATTCAGTCTTCCACTCTTTTCGAAAAAGGTTCCTAAGTTTTCGTGGAAGACTTCTTTTGGTTTGGTAGGTGCCCTGGGCTTTTTGGTTCCAGTGCACAGATGTGGAGTGGTGTGTGCTGTGCCACCTCGTGAGGAGGAGCAAGAAAGAAACAGGTTTGGATTCAGACTGATGCTGAATAAGCAGAGTGCACCGTAGCTGGCAGGGTGGCAGTAGGTCTGTGTCACCGTAGCCCAGTTTTCCCAGCAGAGATTTTTCCACATCACCAGTTTTGCTTCAGTTTCCTGCAAAGAGAGGACCCCCTATTCCACTTGCTTCCATGGAAGACCCTTGCAAAAAAATGCATTTGCCTTGCATAAGGCAGCAAAAACAGATTACGAGAATTAACGTCTGGATGCTGAAAATTCCCTGCTTCCTTAATCTCAAATACTGACTGGGGTCCTCAAGAAGCCCAGGTAAACTGTTAGATCACTGGATTTCTTATCTCTGGCCGAATTCACATTCAGCTATTCCTGCTCTTACCCAGATTATTTGTGATGCTCTTTTTCTCTATATATGCCTCATCTCCTGCTGGAGTTAAGATCAACTCGAACACTTAGAGCTTCAAGGCATCTTCAAATGCCTGAGTAAAATTGCAGTAGATTAAAATCAGGCATCTAAAGTTGGTACCATCTGTATTAGCATCCTGGACTCTTTTGCAGAGGTTGCCCCTGAGCTAGGAACAGCGAACAGCTTGTGATGGACCGCCTGAAGTTCCCCGGTTATCAGCTGGTTTTATTAAGGTAAATCAGCCCCAATAAGGACAGGATCCATCTGCTGTTCTATGTGGAATCAGGGGCTTCAGTGAGAGGTCTCAGCTGCATCCAAACAGGAGAGCTTATAAACAAGACGTGGTTTTACAGCTAAGTGTTTTTTTAGCTGATGGCACGCAGTAGTTGTTTGGTTTAATAGTCGCATTTAGATCACATTCAGGGAATTCTGCAAAGCCTGGAAACAAAAGGATGTGCTCTCGTTTTCATGAATGATTGTTTTAATATTGGAAGGCATGTAGGAGCTTCCGTTACTGACACTAATTTAAATACATAAATAAATTATAAAGGCATTAAAGGATCATTAATCATAGACTTAACAGCAGTCTTAATGTAGATGCATTTGTTGTTTTCCACAGGTAGAGCAAACGCATCCCTTGTTGCTTAGGTTCTTTCCAGCCTATGCAGAGCTCACAGGAATGAACCATTTTCCAGCCAGGAGACTCCTGGATATTTTGTGATGGTATTTGTTTTCTCTCACTGTGATTTCCTTCCATCAGGCATATGCCTAGGGCCTGAGGGACAAACATTGGTGTGATAAATATCCTTTGAAATGCAGGTTGGACCGCTCCAGTTTCAATTAAAAAAAACCCCAAAACCCCAACCCAAACCCGAAGCATTTCTGTTTGCTTTTTCATTTATTAACCACAGCGCATCAATTTTCCTCAAAACTGTAGCATATTTTCCAAATGCTGTGGATCTTCTACAGTTTCAGGCTTCTAAATCATCTGTATATTGTTCTGTCATGTGTCTGGGTGGCCTGGATAACTTTAGGATATCATTTTCACAGACTGCAGCTATAATTGTATGCTGAATCCTTTCTTGTTTCTTGATCTGTTAAACAAATTAATGAGATTATTGCCCCTTTGCAGCTACTGCAAACACTCTTTTCCTTTGTACTGTGCTTGCTTTTCTTTGCTGGCTGTATCATAGTAAACGAAAAGATACACGATAAGAAGGTACTTCAGCTTCCCATGGGCCGCCTTCTGTTGTCCTAGAAATATTTAAAAGGTGCAGTACCTAGCTAAAGACGACTCTTCCTCATGATTCATGTTCTGTGAAGAAACAAGCGACTGAAAGAGCTCCATTTGTCCTGGCACTGCTGTTTGACAGTCAGGTGAACGTAGCTGCAATAAAATTTCCAAGGTTCACATCGGTGCTGTACTCCTTTACCGCAGAAGTAACATCCCTCGGGTAGCACCATTTAAACACAGTGAGGACAGGCACTCCGGCTCACCTCGGTGTCTGGTGGCTGAGGTCAGCTGCAGATGGACAGGATAAGACTGATTTTGTGACATTTATGTTGTGGAGAAAGTAAAGAAACTTCTTTTTATTGTTTTTACTCTAGGATAGTCCATACTTTTTCAGGCTTTGAAATTTTCCTCTGTATTTAAAAGGATCACAGCTAAGTCAGTTTGGTCATGGTCTATTTAAATGCCAGCAGCGCAGAGCTGTTGGTATCATGGCAGACATTTTTATGGAAGACTCCCAGACCTATTTCTGTTATGATTACTGTATATTTAGACATATTCTGCAAGTTTAAGTTTGAATACTTCAAAATGTTTGTCGTATGTTTCTAAAGACCATCTTGCAAAGGCAGAATGAACTCCTCTGTCTAGCTTCTCAGGACATTAGACCTTGGTTACAAGTGAACCACACTGGCTAATGCTCACCCTGTTTTGCAAAATTACGTTATAATTCCTTGGGCTGAGGAGTATCAGGAAGACTTGCTAAGCGGCGTGTACACTGCCAGCTGCATGGAAGTGAGCGTCCTTGGCTTTGCTTCAAGAACTTAAGCTTAGCTTAGGCTAGATGCTATTGAGGAGGAGAAAGGCTGGAATTTTCAAGTGTTTGGGTCGGCACAGAGTGACTGTGGATTCAGAGGAGCAGCTGGGTGTTTATCCACATCGTGGAAGGGAACTCACAGAGGATTCAACCCTTAACACAGAAGAATACTCCCAGTTCTCGGGTAACACCTTGCTTTGGGTTTTAAGTTGTTCCAGCTCTTCTCTCTGTGAAGATGACCCTGAAAACGTGAAACAAGTGTAACAGATCTAATGTTATCTTTTGTAAAAACCAAACCAAATCAAACAACAAAAAAACCCCAACTAACCAACCAAACTTTTCTAAAACAGTGGGTTTGAGAAATGAACTACCTCCCCAGTTCTTCTCACTGGGAAGCTTGCCTGAAGCACGAAGATTACAGTTTAAAGGCAACATAGTCCATTCTGTTTCTTGTCCATTTTTGCTGAAACACTTAGTGAACATATTTCTTTCATAGTCCAAGCCACTTCCTCCATGTCACCAAGCCTGAGCTTTCGATAACCCAACTGCCAAAACCTCCCATTTCTTCCCTGGCAATTTCTGGGATGGGGACATCGTTGTTGTATTTACTTGCATATTCAAATTAGCACGGGGTTACCACAGGGATGGAATTACTCATTTTTCTGATTAGACCATGAAAAGTTCTTCTTTTACCAAATAAGTGAAGCTGATCTGGAATTTGGAGACCACTGAAAGACGTAGTTGCAGGTGGCTCCTTGTCTGCCCAATTACGCGTTTTTTTCATAATGTATTTGTGCATGCAATGTACATGTCTGTGCTGAAAATGAGGTTCTAAATGTTTCTTTATCCAAGGAATAAGCTAATGGATTTACATTTTTTTCATCCGTTTACCATTTGAATCAAGAACAGAGCAAGAAATTTGACTACCTTTGTTTTATGGAGGCTGTACTTCGGGGACCAGTGAGCACTGCAGAGATGTACTTTATGTAATGATCCTTTGAAATAATATAGGCAGACCAAATTCACTCTTTAAAATAGCCTGTAAAGCTAGTGTCAATACTTGGAGAAGCAAAATGTGTTTTTGCTGATGTAGTTTGTACTAAGTAGGTCAGCCAACGAAATCAGCTGTCAAGGCAAGATCGTTTTGATGTTGGAATAGCTGTGGCTGCAGCAGGGTTTGTTTTTTTTTTGTTGGTGTAGAAAAGTAATTTCTAACCCTCTGCCAGGGAAGAGACTGCCACTGGAGGCTGGACCTTAAAAAAATGGGCTCTATATGAGCAGTTATGGATATGAAAGAAACAGGTGGAGTCTTGTGTTCCCTTTCTCTCTAGGCGCTGTATCTGATAGCTACGAACGGGACACCAGAGCTGCAGAACCCCGAGCGACTGTCCGCTGTGTTTCGCGACTTTCTGAACTGCTGCCTGGAGATGGACGTGGACAGGCGAGGGTCTGCCAAGGAACTTCTGCAGGTACAATGCAAAGCGGCTGCAAGTGAAACAGCCGTACTACGGAACGGTTTGCTCATCAGCTAAACTCGAAGGCATCAGGTGGAACCCCATCGTATTGGTCTCCAGTCTCGGTGCTTTTCAAATGAAAAATAAGTGGGATCACAGAATGGTTTGGGTTGGAAAGGACCTCTAAAGGCCACCTAGTCCAGCCCCCCTGCAACGAGCAGGGACATTTTCACCTGGAGCAGGTTGCTCCGAGCCCAGTCCAGCCCAACCTTGAGTGTTTCCAGGGATGGGGCATCTGCCACCCCTCTGGGCAACCTGTGCCAGTGGTTCACCACCCTCATTGTAAAAAATGTCTTCCTTAGATCTAGCCTGAATCTACCCTCTTTTAGTTTAAAACCATTACCCCTTGTTGCACCACAACAGGCCCTGCTAAAAAGTCCATCCCCATCTTTCCTATAGGCCCCCTTTAAGTACTGGAAGGCTGCAGTAAGGTCTCCCCGAAGCCTTCTCTAGGCTGAACAACCCCAACTCTCTCAGCCTGTCCTCATAAGAGAAGGGCTCCAGCCCTTGGATCATTTTTGTGGCCCTATTTTGTATTTTTCTGGTATATTCAGTTTTACGTGGTGGCAAAATAATACCAGGTACAGAGGCCTGAAATGGTGCTGGTGACTACCATACGCAGAGATGTGACCAGGGAGGAACCCAATGAAATCGGTCACAGCCAAGCAGTCAGAAATTTGGCTGTGGGAAGGAAGGGGCTGTGGGAAGGAAGGGGCTGTGGGGTCCTCGCTGTGAGATCGGAGGGGCCCTGCCTTGTCCATCCTGCCTCGGTCTTAGAGGTTTCTGCCACTGAGCTCCACTTTTAGAGGTTTCTGCCACCAAAACAGGGACAGCTGAGCAGGACTTGTCACAGCTGCATTTGCTGCCTGGTGCAGGGCAAGTAGATGAGAACTGCTACAGGTTTACTGCCAGGGTTTGTGGCAAGACAGGGAGCTGCAGCACATGCCACGTGGCTGTCCCTGCTGCGGAGGTGCCAGCCAGCACAGGAGGGGCAGGGGATGGGATGGTAGATGCTGCTCTCACTGCAACCCAGAGCTGAGCCCATCAGCGCTCTGTCACTTGGCTCCCAGAAAACCTGTACCTCAGTGGCCTTCAGAACAACACGTAGGCCTAAATCCTACTGGGATAAACAGTTCCTAGAGGTATTGGAGTTCCCTGAGGAACGGCTTACGCCCCTCGTATTTTTTGACAACTAAAATAGACCATGTCTTTAGAAAACGGGAACCTAGGTAAGTATTTCGAGTTTCCTGAAAGGAACAAGGCCCTGGGACAGCAAGCAGCATTCCCAGAGCACTGGCAGGGCAAAAATCCCAGCAAGCTGAAGACACCTTGATAAATGGATTAGTAGGATTATGGGCCATGTTTGCCTGTGATAGCAAGGTACTGGACGTGAAGACGCAGGTGCAGATGGTCCCCTCAGTCCTATTTCTGCATATTCCTGGTAACCAGAGGAACACTGCTTGAGCCTGTGAGTAACTGAGTTTGGAAAGTAATGGTTCATTTATTTTTTATTTTTTTTTCCTTTGGGCAGCATCCATTTTTAAAATTAGCCAAGCCTCTCTCCAGCCTGACTCCTCTGATCATTGCAGCAAAGGAAGCGATTAAGAACAGCAGCCGCTAGCGCTTCAGGCCGGCTTTCTCCCATGCCAGCTCAGAGCAGGACTGAGAACAAAAACTCTATAAAACCTCAACTCTTGTGCTGCAGGACAGATGGATGGATGAACAAACCAACGGTCACAGTCATGGTGGTAGGAGGGAGAACAACCCAGTCCCTCAAGGAGTGAAAAAATTATCATTTGTCTTCTTCCTGCTTTCTGGCTCCTTAATTTATTTTTAAGATGAAACGGGGCTTGAGACAGAGAGGTAATGACCGAAAATGCTTTGCTGCCTCAGCCATTTCCAAGGTAAAGCAAATTCAGTTGGAAGATTCCCTTCCTTCTCACCCTATGAATAAGCTGTACATTCACTTTTAAATTGTCAGTTGTTTCTTAAAGACAGAAAGTACCTTTTATGGTTTTTTTGGTATAGTTTGGAATTGGAGAAGGGTCTCCTTCATTCATAAACTCCAGACTGCACTGCCTTTTAAATACAGCCCACTCGCTGGTGTTTGCCCAGTCATGGTACTTCTAGATGAGGAAGAAAGTGAAATTGCATTTCCAACCAAAAAGGAAGCAAGAGCGGGGCAGACAAAACATCCTGTTGAGATACAGGCGTTCGACTGTGAATATATGGTGTTTCGGTTCTTGACAATTTGATTTGTATAACTAATTGTAATCTGTTTGCCTGGATGAGAGTCTTAGGAAAACGCAGAAAGATCAGTCAGTGCGCTCAGAAAGGGCTCGTCTGGTGCAAAGCTGTAAGAGAAATGCGAGGTGAGCACAGGCCCAGCCTTGCCTGGTGCTGAGCCCCAGCAGACCCCAGGCAGAGCACAGAGCAGCCTCAGCATCCGCAGACCCAGGGGCGCTGGCGGCAGCGGCGTGGTGCTGGGTGCTTGCCTCTTCCTGGGGCCGGACTAAGCACCCCTATCAGAGCCAAACCGGCAGCGGGCTGCTCCCGAGGTGAATCGTGGCCATGCTGTGAGATGCCCACGCTGGGGGGATTGGCCATCTTGAGTCTGTGCAGGAGTAGAGAAGGGCAAAACAGAGCTGAGTGGTGGTGTCACTGCCGAGGGTGCCTACTCTTCTGGTTGTCTTGTAGCTCCTGGGCCAGGTTAGTAGCATCTGCGCCGCTCTCGGCAGAGGGGGAGGGAGCCAGGCTGCTGCGCTGGCTCGTGCGCAGGGGAGTGTCCTTCAGGCACGCGAGTTCTGCCGTGGAAACTCCGGCCGACGCGAGCGAGTGACAGCTTCCCCAGTTTAGATATGCATGAGCCGGTGCAGCGGCCGACTCTGGCAGAAAGCGCGGTAAACCTTGGAGTTCTGCACTGAGCGAGAGCAAATGTGTGAAATGCAGAGTGGATTGCAGAAATACGTAGAGGCCTCAAGCCAGCCTGCTTTCTGCTGCCCTGCGTACAGCAAGCGCTGCTGAAGGCAGCTTTGAGTTGCTGGGAGAGGGTGAATCCTGGATGTGACTGAGGATTGTGCTTGACTGGTCAACTGATTTGTAAGGGAGCAGAATAGTTTTAAGTATGCCGTTTGTGTTTTATTTATTCCTTTCTGAAAGAAGGACGCGATGTGGCTTCACTCAGAAAAAGCATTTGCATGGAGTATTTGTTGCTGTATTTTAGTAGTACAACTAATCAAAGACCTTCAAAACAGCAATTGAAGCAACACCCACCTAGTGAGCAAAAAAAGACAAAAAAATTAAACCAGCTTTCTGCTGTAGATCCTCACGTTTAGGCCTGGTCCTGCAAGGGACTAAGTAGCCTTTGAGGTACTTTGAGGCACTCCCCACCTTCATGTTTTGCCAGTAGGAATGAAGGATGCTTGGGCTGTTGTTGAATTAGGCCATTAGCTCGTTCGGCTCTGCCTCTTACTTAGTTACAGTCTTTGTGTTGCAACTGTCATTAATTCTGCCAGGTAGCCCACCCTCACTTGCTCTGTCCGTCCCCGTGTCTTTGGCTGAGGCAAGAGACGGAGGCAAAGCTCGTTGAGTTACCGCAGCGATGTACGAATTAGCCGTTCCTGATTTCCTGGGGAGCACGACGGGTCTGATTTTCAGATGCCCAAATAACAAAAGATTCTGTTTCTTTCACGAGGTCCCGTTTTTCTCCGTCAGCTCAAGCTGTCTACCTGGGGGAGAGGCTTTCTTGAGAAAGAGAATAATTTGGGCTCGAGATGGGCTGCCCTCAGTTTGTAAAGCATTCATCTGAATGAAACACGTTTGTATTCCATGTAAGAAGTGAAGAAACAAGTGGCAGTTTCTGTTTCCAGTAAAGCTTTTATTTTTTCCTACCCGTAAAGGAACAGACAGCCGTCCTGTAAAAGGAAAGCACTTTTTTATGTTTGCTGGACACACAGTATAAATACTCATGTTGATAGACTATGCTATTGCCCATGTTTGCTGGACACATAGTATAAATACTCATGTTGATAGACTATGCTATTTGATTGGGGTTTTCCCTATTGTTTTTCCTTACCTATAAGTTTCAGCATCTCTACTTTAAAAAAAAAAAACAACCACCACCACCACTTCCCAGAAGATAACAGATGTGAAAAATAGGAAAATCAAATGGTAGCATCTTTTTTTTTTTTTTTAATCAGTGTATGCCCCAGCATACAGAATATTGTTGGCACTGGCTTTTTAAAGACAACTGCTGTAATAAGAGGCCTTACTTTTTATTTTATTAAATGCTATATTTATTTTTCTTTGCATTGGCAAATCTAGAGATTTTTGTTCTAAAAAAAAATTCCCGGGAGGCAGAATGGGATTCAACAGAAATAATCTCTGCCAGTGGCTGTTTTCAACACGGGCTGTAATTGCCCAGCTGAGACCGTTTGGGATGCAGGGAACGGCACCTCTGGCATCCCTGCGGCTCTGTGCTTGGGCAGCCTCTGGCACTAAAGTCTCAGTCACGAGGTACCGAGAGGTGGCGGCTGCGTTTGTATCCTCCCAGCTCTGATAGGAAATGTGGAAGAGGCATATTAATATATTTTAAAAAAACCCCAAACCAAAACCAAACACCCCCCCCCCCCCAACTCCCACCCCTGAGAGGGGGGCAAGTCTTTTCCATTATTTACAGGTTCAGATACTATGTTAGGATTGACAATAGCATTGACCTTGCAGGAAGGTGAGATGAAAACTATAAAATCTCTGGTATCTTCTTGGGTTTTCTGACTGCTATCCGCAGATTAAGCAGGCAGTGCTATGGTTTTTTTTGAAGTATTAGAAGTAGGGTGTTTCTGTTGCAAAATGTGTAGGTAAATAGGCTTCAAACACTTTCATTCCAAGTTTTAAAAGATCTGTTGATTGTCTTCATTTTTAAATTCGTTATAAGGTTAAAAAGCCCCTATCCAGAGCTTAACTGATTCCCACCTCTGCAGTGAAGACCTGTGAAGATGACCCGATAGCTCGCTGTGGTTGTAATGTGTTTTGGGACAGAGGCATGACAGCAGTAAAGTCAGGGAAGTTTGAGAAGCACAGAAAAGTTTATTTATTTAAGAAAAAAAAAAAAAGAAAAAAAAAAAAGGAAAAAAAATAACCATACCTATGTAAAATTCCATACAGCTCCTGCATGCACTCCTGGGAGCCTGCACGCGGGTGGATCTTACAGTGCTCTCTGCGTTTGACCACAAACTCGGGCCGGGGTTGCATTCTCACTTCTTGTGTCCAGTGCTTTTGTAAATACGTGTGTGTTTATTCTCCATCTTTTGCTACTGGTTGGCCGACCTGCACTACACACAAATGAACTCAAGTATTTTTCTTAGCTGTCTGTGCTGCAGCGCCGCCGGTCCCTACCCCCCCATGTCCTGCCACCGAAAATGAAGCACATTCCAGTCACCACAGGAAGGGAAATAAGTACCTGTCTCCTGTCCTCTACGTGTAGGAAATGTCACCGTACCCTATTGCCTGTATGGCAGTGATTCCCAGTATGTGGTCAGTGGAGTGGCTACCGAATATTCCTCACACTGTGCGTGTAAATACACGGATTTCTTAGTCCAGTCCTGAGCAAATCCAGTGAGCAAAGAGCCGGGGAGAGCTCTACAACACGCCTGCCGTTAAAGACAGGAGCCAGCGGT